CCTTGAAAAAGCTTTGATAAGATTGCCGAGAGAAACGTTGGACTTAATCAAAATTTAATAGCTGAGAATCTAAAAATATTTTTTGTCCCTGATGTCTTACACCAACTCGGCGCCCAACTACTGTGAAACTATTCATTCAAATTTAGACGAAAGTCCTCATAATCTTAAAATATACTGCAGAAAGTAGAGTGAGTGGATCCAAAATCACTGACCTCATTTTCTAGACTACAACTGGAGGGGTAAGTGTTGCGTTTGAAACATAGTGGGATGACTAATAATTCAGGTTAAATATATTTCGCTAAATTTATTTATTTTAACACATAAACATTGGTATAAGGAGGCACCAAATATATATGCGCCATACAAATTAAATGGTTTGTGTGAGGGCTGGGATACTGCCCGGGTGCCTAAACTGAAGCAGGTGGTTTTCTTAGAAAGCCACTCCCTGGGCTTTTGACCTAGAATTCTAATCCACAAGGTAGTGGAACAACTTTAAGAGATGCAGTCCCATGGTAGCCGTTGATCGACAATAGGCTCACTTGCCACTTGTTTCCTCAGGATCCTTGAGCACATGTGCATCATTGGTTTGGAACCACGGTTTTCCAACTCCCCTAGGTGGATCTTCCGTATCCACCCACCCGGTTAAAGCACCGGACATTCGCTTCTCGTCCTTTCAATTTCGTAATCAACACTCCTGCCGTGAGGAGGCACTGGGTAGGAATTCTGTGGCAGTGACTGTATACACGTGGCCATGTGAGAACATTTCGAAAATGAGAGTCGATTCTCCTCATCTTCGACCGTACCAAGGCATTTAGGGGGCCATATATTCCCCAACAGGTAAAAACGTGAATATCATATTTCAACGTAGCATTTGTTATAATAAAACCGAATTTACAGGACAACTTTTATAGGTTTTTGGGCATTATTATATAATATGACAGCAAGGCAATAGTAAACAAATAAACCAGGTTGTGTGCCATTTAAACTGAAGTTCAAGATCAAACTAAAAAGATATAATAAAACAAACAGGAATTAATAAACTATGTTCATATAACAATATAACCATCAGATTAGTCAACTCCACAAGGAAGAAATATAGAAACCCGAAATAAATCAGATAGACTAGTGCAATTTCACAAGCACTTAAAAACATTTTAGCATTTCAATAAAACTTCATCACATTAGAACCATAAAGTCTTCAAATCATTAAAAATGAAAGTGAGATGTTTTATCAAAGATGGATTTTAGTCCTATCAGAAGCAGTGTTTACAGAACATAAAATTCATCTCTTAGAGATTGAAACATTCATTAACACTAATTAGACAGATCACTAAGAATTAAAAATAATTTAGCAACAGCTGGTGTGATATCAGTCTAACAATCATTTGCAGTATGTGTAAATCAGATTCTTTTATGGCAAAAATACAGATATATCAGATTCGAGAAAAATGTAATTACGATTGGACCAAAACATACAGAAATGTTGTAAGATGAAAAAACATAATAAGAACTAAGTCATAACCCTTTGTGGGTATTCAAGGATAAGCTTATCAATCTCTGCTGGTATATGAGTCCCTTGAATGAATGCCTTTATACCACCTTCATTCAAAAGGCGATTGTTTCCTATATCGTTATTCAGAGTTCAAGATCTGTTCTTTGCCCAATTTGTAAATCAAAAATAGGTCACTTCAGTCCTGTGTATCAACAACACAAAAAATATAAATCTTTGCTAATTCATGTACGATGCCAATACTAGTGACTAACAAAAGTTATTTACCATTATGTATATGATTAAAACAACATCAGATTTTTTAGCGAAACAAGTTTCACCAACACATATATGTATCCCAGCTGAGGACTGCGAAACGGAACAAAATATGCTTCAGACCCTACTGTTAAAGAATATTCAAAAATATAAGGGAGTCGTAGATAGTACAGACTATTTATTGATCAGTTTGCAAGGTATTAGTCATAGTTACTAAACGCGCATTAAGCGGAAGTTTCAAAACAAAAACGTGATAGGGTCACCGTACCCATAAAGTCTTATGAAACCACTCAGTGACACCGGCTTATAATCTATTTTACATAAACACTATCAGCTATGATTCATATGACCTAACAGGAAAGGGACGACAACAAGGGATAACTTAGCTACTAAGTAAAATTATTCGACAGATCCATCAACACTTAAATCTTTAATAAGCCACTCATTTCTGGAATTTTAAAATATTTATCAAAACTGTTTCTTACTCAATATTATATTGTATTTTCAGTTCACTTACAGGTACAACAGCAAAAATAAGAAAAGAAAACTCACCAAATTAAAAAAGCATTTCTGCAGATTTAGAAATTAAAAATATGTTAATCAGTGATCAATCCCAATTGCATACTCATTATTTATAGATGTATATTAGAACCATTCAACTAACAACCATACATGAACCACCCCTATATTATTTTCAAAGATTTTCTTAGAAACCAGTAAACAAATTAAAGTAGTGTGTATCCCAATCAAGAATATAATTATTAATGTAGAAATACGTTTTACACCACATGTACAGAGAACATTTACTTTCTAACATCAATATATTTTACAATGCTAATATTACTTTCCATTTTTCTAGTAAAATAAAACTTCCTAGATTTTCTTCTTCATTATCTCAGATATCTGCTCGTTCCGCCCAACTTATTTATATTTTGTGATCGAATCCGATACAGTAAACGATTAAATTTAGTTTATTCATTAGGAAAGAGGTGATAGGCTGGATTATAGCCTGCAATTAGCAATTTTTTCAAAACTGCGGACTGAGTTAGATTGGATCCCGAAATTCTCTTATAGAGCAATCCTGGCACTTACGTTTGTTTAGTTTATTACGTCGGTTAAAGTGTAGGAACCATATCCTGTACCCTTGAATGTCATTAGAGGGAACATTGTGTTTGATTACTTAACAAACTTATATTGACCCAATGTCTATCGCTTTATAAGACAAATGTATCTAGTAGTAAAATATCTCAGCATTCAGGACACATTGAACACGACATTAACAGTTATACATATTTCAGAATGGAATAAACCTTAATGTAACTAACAAACGCATCCTAAAAGAAGCAAATTATGAGGTCAAAATAATAAGAGAACAACATTAGTAAATAACCTTATGGCTAGACTAAATCTAGGAATAGGTAGTATTGAGTCTCAGTTTCAACTTCGTAAGAGCAGTGAGAATGCTACTACTTAGGTACAAAGAACCATAGAAGAGTAGTTACATGTCGTCGCTTAGCTGGGATATGTAAATTAAAGATGGATCGTTTGACGACCTTCGAGTACTATATCAGTTTCTGGGAGAAAAAAACTGGGTAAACAATCACAATGAGTATAACTTATTGGAACTCCTGGCATGTTTTAACGTAGTTGTGAAGGTTACACCATAGCTCTCTGAAAAACGAGGAAAGTTGCTCAACTAAGAAAAGCAAACCTCAGTTGTTTACAAAGTTAAATGTTGGTGTGGCATGACAAAGTTTAATAAAAGTTTATTAACAGCCGTGCTATATTGATTTGATTGCACCTGACGTTACTAAAAATCTGGCAAGGATTGAATAAAACATAGTGGACACGAATGAAGCGTAATCACAAGATTCTAACTTTGCTAGGTGATAAGTGACCAATAAATACACTTATTTAACAATGGTTTAAGTTTTTATAGGCCAAAATCACATATTTTCAAATAACAGAATAGCTGTCCTTAGATCTAAAACAATGAAATTATTTTAATTCGCATGTTAGAAAACTCAACATGACAAGGACAATAAAGTATAAAAAATGACTAGATAAACGACATAACACAATACACTTAAAGCAATTAGTCCCTTTGATAAATTTCGATAATGTAATAAGAAGACGAAGATTATCAGAACTATAGTTCTGATAATCTTCGTCTTCTTATTACAATACACTTATCTTTATTTTACCAACTGAACTTGGTTTATTAATTCAGATTCTGTTTCTGAGGTGAGTGAGTTGGAATGTCATACCTGTACTGTAATAGAGAGGTATTATCACATGACAAGCTAGTGTTCAATGCACACAAATAGCTACCTGTAAAATTGTACTAATAAGACTATGGAATAATTGAATCTTATTTATAAAATGCTGTTCTTGTATTATTATTGGTTTTCTGAAAACTAGTAGTCAATTATGTATAGAAAGATCTCAAAAATGCAAATATCCGATTGTATCAGAAGGCATAAATCTGTTAATACTTTTCTTCTTTGAAGCTAGTAGACTGACGTTAATATAAGTTTGGAATTCCACTAATGCTAAGAAAAGTATAAGTTACGAATTTGTATACCCAATCCTGAGACAAAAACTTCAAGAAAATACTTAAGGTTTAAAGCAATCACGTCTCTTTCCAATGTTCTAAGTGATGACTGCCTAATGCCTTGTTAATTTACAAACCAAAAGATATAAAAGAAATTGGACAAATCGTTCTTACGATCAACGGAGTAAACCGCATACACACTCTCAACCTAAATCAGATCTATCATTTTGAGATTACTTGTGTGATAGGGGAGTTGTAATTATTGTTAGTTAATCTGTAGCTGAATTCGAGAAATTTGTCAAGTCGAAAGAAAACGTTTTTACGGATTAGCTGTGTACATTTCACAATACTAAGGGACCTTGGATACTAAAGGATTGAGAAGCAACTTTACAGACTACCATTCATTGGAATCATACTGTAATGCTTCAGTAGACTAAAAGATAACTCGTGGGATTGTAATGAGGTGTAACCTATCATTCGTCCGCGTGTGCAGGTTTTTGGAGTTTTCTAGAGGGCTTTAAGCAACCCTCCAGAATAAGGTTTTGCTACGCCCTAACTTTTCCAACCTGAAACCTGGCACTTTTTTAAACTTCATAATAATGCACTTTTATCCTCACGTTTAACTAAATTATACAACTGTATTTCATTTCTGTGGTCATGCTTCTACTGAGAAACATGGCACTTAGTATGTAAATATTTAGTGAGACCTATTCGTACGTCCCGGTATGTGATTAAGGAGAATGGTGTATTGTGACTATCTACAAAATGTCTTCGTCATTACAAATAAAGTAGGCTGGAAGAAAGCTAAGGACAGCCAAACCAGAACATGGCATCAGTCCATGAGGTCACTGACAATTGGATTGCGTCACGTTAATAAGTGCAGACTACCTGGTTTAGATCCGCATGAATATTGTTACCAATGGTTGGAGAATCTGGGTGACACGACTTAGAAACGATCACAATAGCGTAGGCGTATACACTCTTAGTCTGCCGTTCAACCGTGGAATTAAAATTGTTTTATACCTTTATTTCTACGAAATAACTCTTTCTTCCGGTACTATATCCCTATACACATTCTTTCTTTTATATATTACTACTGTTGAAGTAACTACGTCTATGAATCCGCTGTTCATCTTGTTATGCTTATGAGGTGTGGCAACTTGGACCGATGCATACATGTGCCCGGTCCTACGTTGCGGCTGAGTGATTGGGGACTTTGGACGGAATGGGTCAAGATCATTTAACAAGGCGAAGGTGTATCCATTCTTTGTCTTACCCCAAATTCTAAGCTTTTGAACCCTTCATAATTTTTTTGTGTTTATTTCACCTATGTATATCTTATTGAATTGTATCTTTGATGCCTAATCTTTTCTATCACCACTCATACTGTTACTACTTCTAGTACACTGAGATATTACGCCTAACAACTTCATCTCTTCATGCTAACAGAGTATGGCAACCTGAACCGATGTGCATAAGTACCGGATTCTACGTTGCAACTGAGTGACCGACTAATTAAAAAAAAGGATATTAGAACAAAACACAAAACTATTTGAATACTTTCGTACATAAGGTAAATAATTTTCAATTACAGCTTTTTCTTTTTTCCTCTTCGATGTTTTGGGTTTTTAAACTTCGATGGTTTGCGTTCTGAGATAAAAAGAAAACATAAAGATCATTAATGATACAGGAATTTAATAAATTGAAGATATTTTCGACTTATAAATACTGTTAGTTGTAAAAACTCGATAACAAGCCCAAAAATCTTGAATTTATTAAACAATAGTACCCCATGATATTCTTCAAATAGCCCTAGTAAGAGCTAAAATCGGGGATAGACCACCTTTTTTACCATAGCGACTTTAAATACACACATGTTTGAAGCCTTTGACAAGCACGTTCAACTGTGTCATAAAATGTCATGTAAATCAGTGATCAGGCAAAGATTAATGAGCCAATCGTACTTATGTATAAGAGCTAGTGATGATACTCTTAGTGTAAATAGACAAGAAAGAGCTCATTTAAGCAGCTCCGTCGAATTTGTTGAACGAATAAATGGACTACTCTAACCCATGAAATCGACAACAGTTCGATCGTCACATAACTTGGAGGTTGATATTTGAACTTATGTTATTGGGGATGTGGTGCCACGAAGAACTCTCAAACTATTCCACACTTTCTAGTTTGAATGTATGAAGAAAGTTACTTTCGAAAGTTTCAGAATCATGGTTAATTTTCATTACATCCAAAATTGTTATACTGATATAACCCGTTATTGTTTTGCAGTTAGGTCATTATTCATAAACAGCCGCTAACTTTTTTAGCTATTGAATTGTATGATCACTTAGACTGTGGTTGTGGTATGTTAACGGATGCTAATATGATAAAAAATATATTTCATCATATGGAATAAAATGAAGAGTTCCACTTCCAAAAAAATAGACAGAAATAAAATGAAAACATTGGACCATTCATATAACTTTGGCCTAAATGTTTGGTAAATCAGTGTATAGCATGTTGAGACGAACCATTTACAAGAATTACCTTCAAATTTTCTGAAACGGATACTTGTTTTTGATGCTCGGCCATCAAATGATTGCGAATATTCACAAACAGAGTTGTCCCGATTGGGCAAACGAGAATCGGGTGAGTTGTTAACCTCAGATTTAGGAATGGCGTCGGCGTTAGTAGGAGAATTAAAGCCACTGAAACTTTCTCGAAACCCAGGTGATACATTGTAGAGTTTAAAAATACTTTTAACAAACTGATAACGATATTTCGACTTAAGGATGGTTGCTCTTTTGTTGATACGTTTTTCTACAGAAGAAGGAAGTTTGAATCCATACTCTTGTGAATTAGGAAGGATGTCTGGGACACCTTGATTAGTAGCTTTCTCCTTGGCGACGAGGGTTCGTCGCATAAAATTCATTTGGAGTAAGTTCTTCGATATACCAAGCTCACTAATATCTAAGTTAGACATTGTTAACTACACATAAAGCAATAAATGGAGGACAAAGTGATATTTCAGATAATTTATATTGAATATACTACAGCTATATTAAGGAAGTTTGATTGTGTCAAGTACTTACCATTTAGCCGCTAAAACGACTGACCACACTTCTCTGTGACCATGAATTAACAGCCTTTATCTAGAATATCTACTCACTGTTTCTATAGAGCGAGGGTGTTCTTAGAAGATGTGAGCAGGATCATTCTAATGAGGTCAGATAACTTCATTTCACAGACCTGTGGTATGGATGGACTGAAACATAATATCTCCTTATTATCATTCGCGGTTGTTTATATGCCTATTCCAATAAAGTGCTCATGAGTAGAAAAGACAGCTTATCTTGGAAGTACTGAGACATATGAAACACAGGCGGAGGATATAATTACCGCCAATCGAAATACACACAACCTGATAAATTCACTGGACAACTTGTAAGCAGTAGATTGAAATAACAGCTAAGTGGACCTGTTGCGTAAAAACGACCATGCAAAGGTAAACGTCAACAGATGTATGCTAGTTGTTTTACTCGATACCAGCTAGTCTTTAATTCACCCCAAGATATGGTAGTATAAACGATATTGACAGGTCTTTACAAAGGAGTTGAGTAGTATGCATGCCCCCATTAAACTACATCTTAGGAAGATATGCATGATCCTCTCAGACCTCAGATATAACCCCAAGGAATATTTTGGACACTGAAATTGCAGAAATTTACTAGATGGCAAGCAGATTGAAGAAATAAAGACTAATAGGAAGAAAACGATTCCTACAAGTAAGTCTGTCATGAAAAAGTGGCCAGGTACATTTATTGCATTTACACTTAGTAACGAAAGCAATCAACGACAAGTAGAAATAACATAAACGCGAGATTAAGATAATCTGATATCATAAGGTTTCGAATGGGCTCAGGATAAAAAAGTGATGAATGAGACGTTATGTTCAGGCCAAACTGTCCCCATGACCTTGAGTGGATCTGATCAAGGCGTGTTCCGTATTTAAAGTCCTCAGGGTTGGTTGGTATTTTTTTATAATGAGTTTATAATGTTCATATGATTAATTAATATGTTTACGTCTGAATACTTAGAAGCCGTTTAAAATCATTTCGAGTATGCTATCTTCCTTTTTTTAGTGCAAATGTCACATTGGCTTTAGAGTAATTGTACATTGGAAAGCTGCCATTTTTTCTCTCTTAGTTAAAGATGGTATTAGATTCCGAAAATAACGTGATATCAGGTAACGGGATTACATGCGATTCTAGGGACTGTTTACGTTGGCAAAGAAATGTCTAGTACTGTTGATCTAGCTTCCAGTCCCCGAAATATTTCGGTTTATATAATTGGATGGTTTGGACAGCTGATAAAAAAGCAAAGTTTTCTTGTTTCAAAGTGATTTCCATAAAACATTCAATGTATTTCAGTGCGTAAGATAAGCGTAGTTCTATTACTTCATAGACGACGCACACTCATTATATGCAAGTGGAAAGAGGAACGAATTCTCAACTGGCTAAGAAGTCAGTTTCTTTAATGGTACGCAAACCCAGGCCTCCTCATGACACCGATCCGAATTATTGAAAACACCTATATTCTCATGTACTTCCAATTTAACCGAGAATATTCCCTATATAAGCATTCTGCCGTCAGCGAATAGCTATCACCTAGTTTTGTCATTCCTTTTTGTGTCTGGTGCCATATTACACGGTCGGGTTCGGCTCGACCCATATGTGTAGAGAGCAAACACAGCAGTCACACAAGAATACGTCGCAACAACGAACTGATCAGTAAATGATACCTCATCAATTGAAGTAGCATGGTCTTTATTCAAAGGCACACTAGGCTTGGTTACCTCCCCGTTTACACGATACTTTGTACTATGTAGACCCGAAAACTGGCTACCACAAATAACTAAGGAATTCAAGAAACTTCTAAGTTGTAGGGAAATGCATTGGAGTACTTACCCCTATAGGTTCTAAACGGTACGGGTCCACTTATTGTAAGACCAAGAACGCTTGAAAAGTGTTGAGGAGTAAGGCTTGACATTCATTTGAATAGCAATTGGTTACGGATCATGAAAACAGTCCGAAAAGGTCATCCTCATACATAATCTCTTCTTTAGAAAATCTACGAGGACACTCCAAAAAAGTTCACAAGTCCAGAACGAATTACTTGTCATCTGACTACCGACTTTCCCATCGAATAATCAACGAGTGGAATTCATTACCTCAGCACGTGGTTGAGGCTCCATCCGTCGACTCCTTCAAAAGAAAGTTGGATCAGCTGAGAGACCATCATTGACAGGACTAACACAAGCCATCAAGCCTCCTGTCCTTTCCAAACTGAAACTGAAACTGAAACTAATTAATATTTGGTAGCCAACACAGTTACCTCTGCCTGTAGCTCTCTGCCGGTCCCAATCCCGAGTAAATGAGTAGGGTTGGGCATGCCGTCATCAACCCCATTCCGTGGAGAACGCCCATGCTGAAAAGACGTTATCCAGAGTAAATAATTTAAACTCTGCCCTGACACTTGATGAATATTTTCAGAAGAATTACGGTACCTCATGTTGAAAGCCGAGATTCATCGGAAGTTCCGAAGCTGCTGTCCCTTCTAACAACCAGAGTGGCCATTGACATAGGTACATGAATTGTTCGGAAAATGTAAAAAAAACTGGGAGAACCAGTCAGGTCGCTGTGAAAATGGGTAGATACAACTTCATGGTTTTCGGAACAAGTGAAACCCGTTGGACAGAAGCTGGACACAAAATGATAGAATCAGGAGAGATGGTGTTGTACTGTAGTACGAAGAAGGAAATGTTTCTCACACACAACGAGTTGTACAGATACTGTTCAAATCAGAATGAAAAGCACTTACAGGATTGGAATCTCATGGATCCAGGATTGTCAAAACATTCATCAAAGCGAAGAAAGAGGGGAATACATAGAATTTTATCCAGTGCATCCAACAATGAAAGCAATGAAGATGATAAGGATCGATTTCGTGCTGCTGCAATCGATCACAGATAAGTGATTGAGAAAGGACCTGATGATGCTGATGGGAGACATAGACGTCATAGTTTGAATGAACAACACCGAGTATGAAGATATCATGGAACGACATGGATCGGGAGAAAGGAACAAGAATGGTGATAGATATGTGAATCAATGTGCCTTCAAAAAAGGGGTTATAGGTGGCATAATATTCACTCACAAACACATATATAAGGCTACATGGGTCTCTCACTTGATCAAACTACAGAGAACAAGATCGATGATATTTGCATCAATTTAATGTCCATAAGGTGATTTGATGGAAGAACAAGAAGGCAGCCGAACAAGAACAAAGAAAGCTGAATACACAGAAACAAACAAGCGGATGAAGTAGAGCATTAGAGCTGACAAGTAGAAATACGTGGAATACCAAGCAGTCGGAGAGGAAAAAGTTGACAGAGAAGGGAATATGAGACAATTATATCATGCGCCTAAGAAAGCGATAGGGGAATATGGTAAACCAGAGTGATAATAGTAATGATAATAATATATTTCTGCAAGGGCAGATACATGCCATTTTACAGGCATGATCTACAAGTTACAACATATACTGGTTCACAGTATACATCCCAAGCAGGTTTTTTAGTAAATATAGTCTATAGAAGTTGATAGCAGTTCACTCGTTCAGATACACTGTGTTTTCCTCAAAATATTATCCAAAGGGGCATCGCGTCCACATTACATACCAGATCCAATCTCGACAAAAATTGTATTAGGGTTTTGGTCGTGCTAAGTATTTATGTAATGCAGCTTTTTAAGTTTATGGTTGTTATAAAGTATACTTGTGGAGAGCCTGGTGCGAACTATGACCTTGAGAATGCGCGTGCGTCGAGCTCGTTTCAGATGTCAGAAGTTACATAGCTTCACCCTCAGAGCAAGCTTCTGAAGAGAAAAAAAGAAACCGAGGAGCAGCAAGGCATTTGGATATGAACGATAACCAATGCTTAACATTTAGTAGTGGAACAGACGTAAGTATGATAAATTATTAGATTAAATCGATACTAGCTCATGTTTCTAGAGTGAAATGTGGTCAGGGGCTCCAGATGAAAGAATGCGGTAATAAAGAACAATGAGTTGTGATATTTATCAAGGTGGAGTAGGTTCGAATGAAGGGAGGGAAGTCAGGATTGGAATGAGGAAGACTGTTTATTAGAACAGAGGGTGCATATGGAGAGTAGAACGTTTAGCAAAATAACAACCATATCCTTTACAGTTTGATCAGTCAAGGACAAATAAGGCAAGTCAATCACTGAGATTCGAGAACAGTGGAATAGGTGGGTAAAGCACTACGAAGTGCTTTTGAATAGACCAGCTCCACTGAACCCACCAGACGTCAGGGCAGCACAAACAAACCTTCCTATAGATATCACTCCACTAACGATCGAACAAATCATCATGACCACCAGAAAAAATAAGAGTTGGGAATCAGCAGGCCAAACAACATACCATCTGAAGCACTAAAGTCAGACATACAAGTAACTACAACGGTACTTCACTTTCTCTTCAGAAATATTTGGAAGGGAAAACAAGTACCAACACATTGCAAATAAAGATATCTCATCAACATACCAAGGAAAGGAGATCTGAACAAGCGTAAGAACTACATAAGTATCACACTACTATCAGTATAAGAAAAAGTTCTCAACATAGTGTTGTTGAACCGAATGAAAGATTCTGTTTCACTATCAACATGCCAGATTCCGTAAGGATGGAATCGGATTTCAGAGGAGAGACGATCTCAGGAATTGAAATTCCACAGAGTGTTAAGGCAGATCTCACTGATAGGTCCGTCATTTTCCATTTGCCAGAAGAATCTTCCGAAAATGAAGCAAAGGCTGGATTTGAGCACAACCTCAGTCACGTTAAGTCCTTAATAAGCAAGTTGCTCCCAGAAGTAGTTGCAGGAGTTAGCTTTATAGAATAGGACAAAAGTTGGATTATGAAAGTACTCAAAAAGCCTCCTAAAGGTTACCTTTGTAAGGTTGAAGAAAGAAACCTAATGCTGGGAAACTCACGCGAACTGATTGGTCCTAGGTTATACTTCCGTGAGGATCCTAGCCTAGTTGGCCGTATTGAGACGAGCTGCAGAAGTAGAAATAAATGAGCGCCGCCAAAACGATGAAGGAAACTGCATACTTAAGAGTTTTCAAATTGTAAAATTTCGGAGCGAAACGATCACCAAACCACTCTGGATGGTGAGTAAAAATTATCCACAGAATTAAAGTGTGCTACACAAATGATCGCAGCCTACTAAATAAAATAATGGAGCTCAAGATAGTGGTGGACGAAGAAAAACCGGATGTTATTGCTGCCACAGAAACATGGTTAACGTCAGAAGTGTTTGATAATGAAATTTAGTTAACTGGTTCCTATCCAGTAGGTTGATAGATTAAACCGTAGGGGATGAGGGGTTTTCCTGTTCACGAAAATTACCTTAACCATACGAGTTGTTGAGACAGTAGCAAACGACTCAGGGATATGTGAACTGGTATAGTGCAGGCTGAATTATAGACGGCAAGATATTGGATTAGTTGTAGTATATCTCAGTTTAAATTGTGTAGTAGATGACTTCCTCCTAAGCAAACCTAAGTCCTGGTGTAATAGGGGTAAAAGCCTGATAGTAGGTGGCTTTAATGCACCGTATATAAAGTGGATAAACTTAGAAGTAGGGTCGTTGATAGCGTCATTTAGTTGCAAACTGTTAGAAGCCTTAATTGAACTAGCTTTATTCCAGCACATTAGAGATCCCACCAGATATGACTTACGTAGCACCTCGTCTCTCTTGGACTTGGTATTCACGTACGGTGATGACGCCGGTTAAATGACTTTCCTTCCACCTCTAGGGAGAAGTGATCATGCAGTCATGTTATTCAAGTTCATAGCTGAGGTGACCTGTCAAACAGTTGCACCTGCCCGTCTTAACATATGGAAGGCAGATATTGAGGCGATAAACTTTGTATCATTGGCTTAAAACTGGATTATTGACTCAGAGGCATCGGATAGTTATACAACCGGGTAAGTCAACCGTATATATCCTGGACAGTCCCAAAGAAGAAGAAGCACGATCACCCCTAGGTGGGTCGGGATATTTGACGTTAACTAAGACAAAAAAGAAATGTTGGAACGTTGCCATCAGCCTTGGCACAGAAAGTACTATGAAATGCTACAGGTTGGTAAAAATTAAGGGTATAATTAAAATCCGGGAAGCTCAGGGAAAATATGAAGTGCAGTTGGCACAATCTGCACTCTAGCAGCCTGAGAGACTATTCTCGTACATAAACTACAGAACAAAGATGCATCATTGGATTCCCAGCCTAATCAAAGAAGGGAGTGGATCTGAAATGATAGAGGACGATCAGGAAAAAGCGGATGCTATAGATAACTATTTTGGGACAGCTTTCACTCAGGACTCTCTTCCAGATATGGAACCAGACCCAAATAAGGAGTCAACAAACAACCCGCTCACAGTGGACTTCGATCAAGACGATGTACTTAAGGCTCTTACCCCAGTAGGCACGCAAAAGTCAACAGGACCGAATGAACTACACCCCGAAACCCCGAGAAAAATTGCACAATACATTGCAGCCTCACGAACTGTGTTATTCAATATGTCACCTCATCAAGGTGTTTTACCTACTGGCTGGAAGGATGCAACCATCACTTCGATACATAAAACAGGACCAATACAACTTCCATCGAACTACAGACCCATCATCCTCACTAGTGTCGCAGTTAAGATACCGGAAAGAATAGTCAAAAAACCATAATAACTTTTGTGGAAACCAACAACTTGTGAAACAGCAAACAACATGGTTTTAGAAAAGGTTTATCTTACACAACAAACCTCTCGATAGCAAGGGTGCAATAGATATTCAGACTTCAATATTGTGATTACCTGATCTAACGAGTGGCTGAAGCCTATCAACGCTGCAATGTGTGTTTACACGCACTTCGGGGATTTAAAAGTAAATAGTTAAAATTGCCCGTACATAATATATTCTCTTTTCTTCTTCCCATTAGATCGAGACATCTCAGAGAACATAGCAGGCGAGTAGGAAAGCCAAGAACGAACGAAATACCCGTGCATACAGGTTTTCACTTTGAGTCATAAATTCTTGGAACCTGATACCCGAAGCAATGGTTTCCACGCCTTTAACTAACTCACTTAAAGGGGGGACTGAACACTCACAGAAGCATACTAGAAGAGGAATAACATAGGCCGTAGGTCGTCTGTCCTTACTATACAAACCATATGATTTAACCAGTATTTAACCAATCTTAACTTTTCTGTAGCCAGTTTATGTGCTTCTGAGGATATGAACCAGAGACATTAAATACAAGTGTGGTAGCACATTCAACACAAAGAGAGAGAGAGGGGGCGATATCGTAATTTTGTAGTGGTTACAAAAATCAGTAAATTTGCGTGTCATTATAATGTATTACATTTCAGTTTTGATTATCGTTGATTTCTTACTGCACACGATCTTTCGTGCTACTGAGCATTCAGTCCCTCAAACGGTCCCAAAAATTTACAAACAACATCCAATCATCAAGAACCGCACTTGTCGCTTGCTAAGTCGTAAAATGCACTGTTGGGCGGGATATAAACGAACTGACAAGGCAAAACTGGAGTTTCTCAACTGCTAGGTCCTAATGGTCCGGCCAATAACGACGGTGATGCCGCCAACCATTTGGCTGAACAATACTCCCAGACATTCCAGCTGACCCACATCAATTATACTGACGAAAGCTTCACCTGCACCTGCACAGGACTTTTCGAAGTGGACCTGAGTGTTGACCGGGTGCACCGTAAACTGCAGCACCTAAGAAAAGACACTTCTCCCGGTCCGGATATGGTTCATTCCGCTGTATTGAGGGAAGCAGCTTCAATCCTGGCGACACCAGTTAGCGTGATGTTTGCACACTTGCTAAGCAGAGGCAAACTGCCGGAAATTTGGAAACTGGCTCACATCACACCAATTTTCAAAGGAGGTCGACGCAGTGAACCCTCAACCCGACCAGTGGCCCTTCTCTCCATACCTTCAAAAATTATGGAATCCCTAATATACGACGGTATACTAGAACACTTATCATCCTCAAAGTTCTTCTCACCTCAACAGCATGGTTTCAGAAAAGGTCATTCTTGTATTACCAACCTGCTGACTGCGGTGGATAGATGGACAACCATCCTTGATCGCAAGGGGAAGGTTGACGTCATCTACCTGGACTTCTCAAAAGCTTTTGATAGGGTCAACCATGCATGTCTTATCAAGAAGCTTGGACGATTGGGTATAAAACCCCCTTTAATTGATTGGCTCTCTTCATATTTAGAAAACCGACACTTTAAGGTCAGGGTTAACTTCACTCTCTCTCAGGTTATGGAATGTCCTAGTGGGGTCCCCCAGGGCTCAATACTAGGACCTCTTTTCTTCTTGATTTATATTAACGATCTTCCTCAACAAGTTTCATCTGACTTATTGCTTTTTGCTGATGATGTGAAACTTTGGAGAGAGATACGTAATCATAATGATATACTAGTACTTCAGGAGGATCTGACTCGACTTCAAAGTTTGGCAGACGACGACGGACTTACCTTCAACGCTTCAAAGTGCAAAGTGATCCATCTGCGACATGTTGCAGACTATAGTTACAACTTAGGAAACTCCTCTCTAGAAGTTTCACAAGTCGAAAAAGATTTAGGAGTGTTGGTACCCTACGACCTGAAATCGTATGCGAACTGTGACAAAAACGCCTCTCAAGCAAACCTTGCACTGGTAACATTGAAGCGCATTATTGGCCTGTCTGACAGTAGAACCTTTCACATAATCTTCAACAGTTTTATTCGTCCCCATTCAGAGTACGGAAACATAGTATTTCCTCCCTCCCTCCGAAAGGATAAGGACACTCTGGAACGTATACAACGTCGAGCCACGAAATCAGTTCGGGCACTCAAGTTCAAACCTTATGAAGAGCGCCTCAAATCACTTAACCTTTACCCGTTAGGGTACAGGCGTCTTAGAGGTGATCTTCTTATGACTTACAGTATCCTTAATACTTCTGGTCATCCTCTTAAACATCTTCTTAAGCTTAGTCACAACACTAACCTAAGAGGTAACACCCAGAAATTGGAGACCCTACATAGCAGAACAGACTGCAGATACAACTTCTACTCCGTAAGAGTTGTCAAGTGCTGGAATTCTCTGCCGACTGAGTTAGTCCAAGCGACTTCTCAGGAGTCCTTTAAGAGGAAACTTGACTTATTCTTAAGGACTAAGGATAACATATTATTTTGATTCACCGAATTCTTTTTTTCTCTATTATTGTTAATATACCTAGGTTCTTACCTGGAGGTATTGGTGATCCACTGCTACTAAACATGGAAGCCCGTTAAGCGAAAACTTCTTCTATTCCGTCCTCAACCATTTGAACCATTCATGCATAGAGTAAATTTTTGGTTTTTAATCATTAAAAAACACTGAAATAGTGCAAAAACATCAGAAGCAAGCTCAAAGAAATTAGTTGGCTAATATTAGCTTGTCACACGGATATTAGATATTGGAAAGGTCATCTACAGAGTCACTCAAGGTCTCGTGGAGGCTATGGTTTTCTGTCAGTCCCGTAGATATGATAGACCATGACTTTGTCCGGTAACATTGGAACTTGGTCACGAGTTCACATGCGAATCCAACTTAACAGTCTTTAGTAGATACACAGATAATAAACTAAGTAGATCAAATACTGAGATATCGATGTCTTCGACAAACGCTAATTAGCGTTTATTTGTGCGTAAAGTAGGCTATTTGGTGGGAATTCCAAGACATTTTTTTCTCTCTGAAAAGGCATGTGGGGGATTTTTCACTATGTTCTTGTGGCAGGCGGCAAAAGAGACTTACCGGAACGTTCTTTACTATCATTCCCCTTCTCGTCCTAAGGAATGTTCCAGTTATTTCCCCTGTGTTCGTCTTAATTCTCTTTTTTGTTTGCTTGTGCTCACATTATTCTTCAGTACAGAAGGCATACTGAACACAGAGTTATACAGTCGGTGTTAGTTTTAAGAGAAAAGTCATATTTGGGGAAGATAAGTGTTATTTTCGAGACATTCCTCCGCAGTGGGAAAATTTTAGGGAAAATGCGTATTATTTACTACGGTCTGGAAAAAAGGTGACATTCTGATGCACTGCCGTCTGTATTCACACCGACTTTTAGGAATTTTTCCCAAAATTTCCTCGAAGTTCCCTTTTTAGTTTACTTGAGATTACTTGAATTTTTGCAGTTGTATGATTATATAAACATCACTGAGTTCTATCCGTGACCTGAAACCGCTTTCTAACATCAAGAAACCGACCCAAAGAAACTAGTTGGCTCGTACTAGCTCGTCGCAAACATGGGTATTGTTGCATTCTCAAAACACTGTCCGGTGGTGATTTGACTAACTTATTCTGTTCAATTTGCATTGTAGTTTTGCTGATCGATTCATTTTAGCTCTTAGGAAACAAGTGATATGTGTATCAAAAAGCTCTCACTTGGTCGTCATTGAACCAAGTAGCTTTCTCTATGGTTTTTTAGCTGACAGGTCTTGTGAATACCCGAGGACACAAATAAGTTCTTGTTTACTTGTCTAGGATTATGCAATGGACAACTACATTTTTTCACTGTAAAAGAGATTTTGCTCGTCAAATCTCGTGAGTGTAGTGTGTTCTGGGATTGGATTTCCAGTTTTATTTAACCGATGTTATTTGCATTGCGAATTGAGTTTATCCAAAACGTTTTTTGTCATTTAATTAGCGTGAATTTATCTTTTTTCCTTTCAGAGGGCCTATATATCCAGCAGAATACTTACCAAAGCCGACCTATCCAAGTTCTAGATACTATTAAATCGTCGGCTTACAACACATCTGGTCTCATCTATAACACTATAAACTTAAAATATGGAAACCACTGTATTAGTTACAGGGGGTTCTGGCTTAGTGGGAAATGGGATCCGACTTGCTCTAGAGAACATTAACGGTCCCCTCAAACGAAATAACGAAAAGTGGATATTTTTGTCTTCTAAAGACGTTAATCTGACGGATAGTAATGCTACCCGGGGATATTTTGAGCGCATACGCCCAACCTACGTAATCCACTTAGCTGCCAAAGTCGGTGGTTTGTTTGCCAATATGTCTGACAATCTTGAATTCTTTGTAAGTTAAAATAAATTTACTTATTCGTAATATTGGTAGAAGTACTGTAGTGAACAATTTTAAAGCACTGATTAGTTGTCCTTGACTTACTACGTAAATATAACGTCTCGAATCTTGATTTAGAAGGAAATAATAGTAGTGTTTCAAGTAAAGAAATATAGTTCTCTGTAGATACATTTAAGCGAACTTCAGATTTATCAAAGTATTAGGTATTAGAAATTTGACAGTTGGCGATGCTGTTTCGAAAAAAGGTGAGACAATTAACTTTCGACCCAGGGGATTGAAACGATTGGCAGAACACTTCGAAGAGAAGTTCAACTAGTCTAGTTTTAGCAGTTGGATTGACCGCGAAATTAGTTAAATTTTAGTAACCGAATGTAATTCCATCTACCTGGTCGTCGCTGTTTGTCCCAGCTTATAAGAAAAAACAAAAATCGTGCGACATCACGAAAAAATCGGTATGATCAACAGTGTCTCAAATGTTAGCCTCGTCAGTCATCCGTATTATTTATTTTTATTTAATCACATATATATTGGTACAAAGGGCACCGGATACATATGCGCCACACAAAATAATGAGAATGGGAGAAGAAAGAAGATGCGTATATATAAAAGAAGGAAAAAAAGAAAAGGGGAAGAGTAATGATGGGGGGAACTGAATGTACAACCAGAAGAGCTCTCTCAGTTAGGAAACTTATAGCTACTCTTTATGAAGAAAGTAGAAGAAGGTTACAGCAGTCTCGCCACTGGCTTCTATTCTGAGTCATATCTGATAACGTCTCTAGCCACTGTGTTGCACCATCTCTCGGACCCCAGCCAGGGAGTCGTGAAGGACCAACAAAAGCTAGCCCTTTGCAGCTCTGTTTCATGCCACGACACCATGTCATACACTGACCTCCTCTCCGCTTTCTCCAACCAGTCCCAGAGTCGGCAAATAATGCACGACGTGGAAGTCTCTGGGACGACATTCGTAAAACATGTCCAAGCCGCCGAAGTCGGTGTTTCAAGATGGTGACACCAATTGAATTATCGTCTCTGCGCCCGAACACACGATGCCGAACCTCTGCATTACTAACATGGTGTTGCCACTGAATGTCGGCAATCCGTCGGAGACAACGATGATCGAACACAGAGAGACGTCTAACATCCTCAACTCGAAGAGGCCAGCTTTCACAAGCATAGAGCAAAACTGTTCTCACCGACACGTTGTAGATCCGACCTTTTACAGCCAGACTAACATCACGAAGGCGCCAAAGATGGCCCAGATTGGCATAAGCCGCTCTGGCTTTCATTATACGTGCATCAATCTCATCACTCACGCCACCACCAGCACTTATGTAGCTACCTACATACACGAACTTCTCAACTACTTCAATCTGCTCACCATCCAGGGTGAGTACAGGATGAGAATCCTGCCAGTCTTGTAGGAGTACCTTGCACTTGGAGGGTGCAAAGCACATGCCGTACCTGCGGACACTGATTGCCAACTGATTAAGTGCGGATTGCATGGCTTGAGCATTATCGCACAGTAAGACAATATCATCCGCATACTCAAGGTCGAGAAGTCGTTCTCCAGGCAACATATCCACACCGCCATTACTTACATCCATCAGAGCTGTTTCCAGAATGTCTTCGATGCAAAGTTGAAGAGGAATGGTGAGATCGGGCAACCCTGCCTAACCCCACTGCTCGAATGGAACAAGGGATAAAGGTGGTTGTATGCCCTCACTCTGCCTGAGGTGTTCGTGTACAGGGCCTTTAAGATGTTAATGAACTCCTTAGGCACACCCTTCTTCAATAGACAATCCCAGAGAACAGTCCTGTCCAACGAATCGAAGGCAGCCCTGATATCAAGAAACACTACGATTGTTGGCCTGCGATAAGTATGACGGTGTTCTAACATTTGGCGGAGGGTGAAGATGTGATCAATGCATCCTCGACCAGAACGAAAACCAGCCTGCCCCTCGCCAGTCAATCGTTCTCGGGTTTTAAACAGCCTACGAAGAATGACAGAAGCCAATAGTTTGGACGCAATCGGGAGAAGACTTATCCCCCGATAGTTATTGCAGGAACAACGTGAACCCTTTTTAAAGATAGTGACGTCTATCGACTCATTCCATGATGTTGGAACACTTTCTTCCTCCCAAACCTTTCCAAACAACGCAGTCAGTTCCTTAGCCAGAAAGTCACCACCATCTTTAAAAAGAGCCGGAGGTAAGTCATCTGGGCCAGGTGATTTGTAACGTTTCAAGAGTTGGAGTTCCTTGCGGACTTCCGCCTCGTTTGGTGGATCAGTCGTCACCGGCCATGGGGGGCAGGACAAACTGGTCGATGTTGCTGGAGCAGCAAGCCAGTTGAACTGCCCTCCGAAAAATTCAGCTCATCGTCCAAGACGTCGAGAAATGTTAGTGATTGGCATCCCATCATCCTCGTAGATTGTTTCACTCACACCAGACTTCTTGCTGCCAGTGGCTCGGATGAGTTGGAATAGCTTCCAGCAGTTACCTTACGCAAGCTTTTCTAAATTTTATTACGTAACAGCCTTCGTTTGTGGTCATACTCACGGTCACCCGGAGTAGACCGACGGGCTTCCATCAGTTGTAAGGAGCCAGAAGAAACCCAGTGCTTGTAAGCGGGACGTTTCGCGAAGCCGCAAGCGGCTTTACTCGCCATTTTCATGACGTCGTGAAGATGCAACCAATGCTCATCTATACTTTTAGGTGGGATGGTAGCTAGCCTAGAAGCTAGCTCCGCTCGATACTTACTTGCAATAGATGTTGCAGCCAGTTTACTAACATCGATCCGTTGGTGGCGGTCAATCCTTCGGCCACTGAAAAGTAAGGTGAGATTGGCGCAGACCAGGGCATGATCAGACTCCAGATAGGTATTCCAAAAGGAGCGGCAGTCTTGTACACAACCACGCCAGCGGTAGCTGATCGCGATGTGATCAATCTGAGTCCAGGCTTGAGATGCAGAGGGAGGACGCCAGGTAGCACACCGGCGATGACTGTGCCGGAAGTTAGTGCTGGCCAGAAACAGGTTGTGGTCTGTGCACAGTTGCAGCAAACGGTCCCCGTTATCTGTCCTGCGACCAACAAGTCTCCATCGGCCACCTAAACGACTCTCTTCTGTGCCTAGACGCCCGACCTGTGCATTCAAGTCTCCGGCTAGTACTACAATATCCGTTGAACGCACTTTCTGGAGAACAGTTAACTGGTGATAGAATTCATCCTTGATTGCATCCAGGCTGCAATCTGTCAGAATGTAGGAGGAGATAACAAAAAGACACAGTTTCTCACGCCGATTTCTTCTCACTTTGATTGAGCTTTCTAATCTAACAGCACATAACCGACTGTTATAGGAGATCCAATCGATTAGTGCTGCCTCAGCTCTAGCGCTTAGTGCGACACCAACGCCAACAAGACCAGACGAAGATGCCACAGGGTCCCCGGATAAGCGCACGTGAAACAAGCTTTTCGAGGCGACAGATGGAGAGCGGATTTGTAGTACTTCACTAGAGTCTTGAATGCGGATCTCGGATAGACAACAAACGTCAACATTAAGACCTTCCAAAGACATAGCCAGCCCTATCTGTTGTCCGATCTGCGTTAGTGTGCGAACGTTGAAGGAAGCCAGCTTGAACGGCGTACGTGGTTTCAGAAAGACTGCTTCAGTATTCATAATCGGTAGAAGCATTCACTTTCAACCAGACAGTGACTGGAGATCGTTTAGATAGGACAGATTTTCTACCAAGAGCGAGCTACTGCATAAGATGAAAAGTAAGGTTACACAAATTGGGGATAAAAGGGGGTGAATTAGCGATATGGTAAATAATAATAGTAATAATAATGCAAATTGAATTGTTTCTTGTATGAACGAGAATATAATTGTCAGCTGAATGTTCCATTTCATTTATTTGCGAGAGGGCTGTGATACTGCCCGGGTGCCCAAACCGAAGCAGGTGGTTTTCTTACGGGGCCACACCCGGAGCCTTTGACCTAGAGGTCTAATCCACAAGGCAGTGGAGCATCGTGAGGAGATGCAGTCTCATGGTAGCCGTTGACCAACAGGTTCATTCGTTCCATCAGGATACTGGAGCCCATGTGCACCATTGGTTTGGAATCAGGGTTTTCCAACTCCCCTAGGTGGATCCTCCATATCCACCAACCCGGTTATAGCGCCGGACATTCGCTTTTCGTCCTCTCACTTTCGTAAGCAACACCCCCGCCACGAGAAGGCAGTGAGTAGGACTTCCCTGACAGAGGCTATATATTCGCGTGGCCATGTGAGAGCATTTCGAGAGGGAGAGCAGACTCTCCCCACTCTCGGCCGTACCAGGGCATTTGGGGGCGTCAGTCATCCGACACCTAACTAGGGTTCGTGGAGGGATAACGTGGATAAACCAGGCTAGTTTCAGACTTGGATGTTTTTGTGTACACCTGGCATTCGCGGTTCATCTGGCTTTCAACATAGACGTACCTACCGAATCCCAACTAAAGTTGTATTTCTTGACCTTAAGTCAGTGTTTGACTCAATATATCGACGAGTTTTATGGCAGCATCTGCCATTAAAGGTATACCAAAGGAGTACGTTGACATCATAAAGGCTCTCTACTTAGACACTACTTGTCGAGTCAGAGCTGATGGCGAACTGTCATCAGAACTGATGACATCGATTAGGGTTCACCAGGATTATCCACTTTCTCCATATTTATCTTTGTCATAGACATTCTTTTGTGGACAGCACCCTCATCTGATTTCACAGGAATTGCTTTACCAGGAGATTTAAATGTTGACTTACATTACTCAGATGGTATGGTACCTGGTTTGTGAAGTCACTGCTAAAGTAGTCTTTTGGAAGTCTCAACCTGCAATGCAAGCATTTTCGGGGTTTGTTTTTTCTTTCATTAGACACAGAATGTTGCCTCAAAACTGATATGCATCAACTCCTCAACTATGGATATGGAATGAATTAGTTCAGTGCGTCGACCATTTCACTTTGAGAATCTCATCAGATCTGATGGGTTTGTTTACGGAAGATTCAGAAATTTCTATTGGTTTTTGCCAACACACGCCACTCGTAGCGTAGGCGAGATGTCTACTTACCACCCAAAAGATAAGTATACTTAGCAACAGTTCTCTCTGTTTTACTTTATGGTTCTGAGGCATGGTCGCTAAAAACAAAAGATAATCGTTGGTTGCCAGTATTTGAATATGGAAACCTTCAGCACTACTCATGTACGTTGAGACCGCCGAGTAAGCAGTGCTGAGGTTAGGCCTAGGGTACTAGTTGAAGTTAATAAGTCGCCTAATGGGGTAGTGGTTATCGACTGAGGTGACTAGGATATGAATTACATATGCACAACCACCTCCGACCTTTACCCACGTCGTCTAGTATAGTAGTAGGTCAAAATAAAGTTGGAGGCGGCCAAACTAATACATGACTACAGTTCATGAAGTCATTGGTTGTTGGACTGAGACATGTAGGTTGGTGTAAACTACCTGGTTGGGATCCGCGGGACTATTTCAGCTCAAGTTCAACAACACAGTTGTGTAGGCTTGTCACAATGTCGTACTACGTACATTTGGTGGAGTTTGATAAATTAAATCTTTTGAACATAAAGTTAGGAACTTAGGCACATAACGTATATTAATTAGCCATAAAAAGTAGAGAGCTACTCTACTTATCAGTGAACTAAACTTTTAAGGCTTGGTATACTCGCTGATATTATATATATATATATATATATATATATATATATATATATTTCAAACTATTCATTCATGGAAAGTAAAAGTGTTAACTTACATGGCTTTTAACTGAAAATTACCTGTAGCCTTGACTCAGTCAACTATTTGTAAACAGTATAATCACCAATTACTAAGCATGGCATTTCCCCGCGTCTCTTTCCATCTGTAAAAACTGTTATCTCTGGCTTTCCAGAACATTTATATATAACGGCAAGTTTCTACAAGTTGTAAAAATCTTCATGCTACATACAACTCTCTTATCCTGTTTATATATTGGTTTTGAACAATCACTACTTTCTATTTAGCGCCAAAACATGCATATTAATGACAATGTATTGTCAAGCAGTCATGCAGTTGGTGTAAAGAAGGTTATTTCGTGTCTTTCAACGTGTATATTTCCTGATCGTACAACTTATCCAATCGACGAAACTATGGTACATAATGGACCTCCACATGATTCTAATTACGGATATTCTTATGCTAAACGCATGATTGATGTAATGAATAGGTAAACCCATCTTTCTCTTTTAGTATTTAGAAGGCACGGTGTTTAGCTAAAGTTATCTTGTTTTGTGTTATCAACCACCTTTTATTTAAGTTATTTAGATATTGAACGGACTATTCCAAGAATGTTTAGTGACTTTTACGTGTTAATGAAAAGTCATATCAGTTGTTAGTTTTCAATAATCGGTTGTTAGACAACTTTATAATGGCTTATAAAACCAAACGAAGTGCCAAATGGTATATAAATTAAGTCTGCCGATCAAGTTTTAATTTCATTAGCTGGTGTATTATCTTTGTTGTATCCCGAAGAGAATTACGAATGGTAACTTTTGTGGACTATTTATTGGTCAGTATAATATGTATATTTCCTATTGTAATTAACCTAATCATATTCGTTTCCTCTTATCACTAACTTTATTTTGACCTTTGTACTATTATTATACGATCCTTGAGTTATCATCAGTTTATTGATTACTATTCACAGCCACATTCGGCTAAATATTGTACAAATGTTATTATCTATTTTATGGGTCGATATGGTTTGTTTGGTTGGTATATAAACTCAGTATGTTTGAAATACAATGGTTCATACCACTGAGGCTGTTATCGGTGTTTTGGACTTAACTGTTTGGGCTAGGCAGATCGCAGGACCGGTTAGCACTGTAGTCTGCTCTTAAGGCTTCGTGTCACTGTTCCAATCGATAATTCGCTGCTCCCTGTTTGGCAGTCTTATCGCGTCACACATCAACTAGGCATCCACTCGGCCACAAGATATAACAATCTTCAAGATTCATGTTCTTATATTTGAAATAAATTTTAGTGTTCGTATTTCGTCTCTTTTTACTGGGAAAAGAAACTTATTTTTATGACTAGTGCTATTAGATTTTTCGGTATTGGTTCTTCCATACATGTGTTCAGTTGTCTAAATTGTCGTCATAGTTTTTCCTTTCTGTTTTCTCATCATTTCAGAGGGTATAGCGAGACTTTCGATGTTCTTTATACGTCTATTATACCTACCAATGTATTTGGTCCATTTGATAACTTCGATATTAATCAAGGACATGTTCTTCCTGGTCTTATTCATAAAGCATACTTGGCTAAAAGTAATGTATCTAGTTATGTTTAACTGCCTTTAAACCTAATTTACTGTTTTTCGGACAGACTTTTCGTTTGTTCACTCTTAAAGTCACCAACGTTGATTGGTTGCTGAAAAATTATTCGCTTTAAAGATATTTAAGCTATCTGATCTGCTTAATTTATGCACAAAATTATTTTTAAATGTTTAATAACATAGAGGAGATTTCGTAAATTATTGATCGATGAACACTTAATTTAACCAAAGAAAAAATTGCCAAAAGTTAATAAAGGGGTCTGAAATTCAAAGTGTTATAATACAAAATGTTTTGAGTAAATAGTCTAAAACATAACTCTGATTCATCATGTGCAGTATGGTTAATGTTTAGTTTCGTATTGTAATTAGTCTTCAGGGACAGCACTAATGTTTCTGCACCTCTAATATATGACGTTATGGCAAAAAGATGCTTTAGAAGTTTGTGTTCCCAACATCATTTTAATTGATCTCATGGATCGTTTGTCACTGGACTCATCCTCCTTACGTTATGCTGATCTATTTAAGCACTTGTTAATTGTTGTTAGATTTGTTGGAATGCATATACTAGTTTTCATTACATATACTGAGTACGTAAGCTTTTATTATCCTAAAATGGTATATCTATATGTTTAGAGAATGGCGAACCTTTAATTGTTTGGGGTTCTGGTAAGCCATTGCGTCAGTTTATTTATTCTGTTGATTTGGGTCATCTCATCATATGGACTTTACGGGAGTACAACGATTCTTCTCCAATTATACTTTCTGTACCCGAAAGTGATGAAATTTCGATCCGTCAAGCTGCTGAAGTAGTAGCCAAGGCAATGGATTGTCCTGAACTCGTTGTATCCTTTTCAAATTTTCGTTTAATGTATTCTTCATTTGTAAGTCGACGTATTAGCTCGCTAAATTTTTTCATATCACCATCCTGTTGACATAATAAACAGCGTTTCTCTCTTTTGGTAGATTTGTCAGCTGTCTACGTGTTACATGAAGTACAGAGGTAACTCCATAAAAAACATCTTTACAAATGATGGTTCTAACCGTTTACAGATAGAGTCTCTTCTGTTTTCACGGTTACTCATTCAGGTCAAAATGAATTATAATTATAATTTGAGTTGTCTCCTAAATTTTTAGAAAGTATCGTCTTTTGTTCTATGACTTTTCGGGAACTACTACTGGTTCACACGGTCTCAGAAACGTAGTATTTTTTTGCATCATCAATCCTATTTCAAGTTGTCTGAACCCTCATAATTAATACCATATGTTTCATAAAACGTTACATTTTTCTAACCATAATCGTCTAATATTTACAGTAGTACATATATCCTATTTCTAAGACTTATACATAGATCATGACATAAATGATACAATCGATATTATGAACAGACTATAGTATTATTATCGAGTAATAACTTCATTTTGCAAATAAAATGTTTCGATTTCCCAAACCTTTTAGAAGAATATTTGTAGATGAGTAAAATGAACGCTGTCAATTTTGCTTGATTTCTTATCCTTGTGCACCTATGACAATTTAAAACCTCTTGACGAAAATCTAATATCAAGTTTGACACAACTAAAGCGGATGGTCAGTTTAAGAAAACTGCTAATGCATCCAAACTTCGCCAACTTTATCCTGATTTTAAATTCACTCCTTTTGAACAGGGTGAGTTAAACCTTTACACACATATATACTGTTCGTTGAATATTTACGATGAATCCGTTTATTTTATCAAGTAAAAATTTATTAAAAGTTATGCTGTCATCTGGTATATATATATATATATATATATATATATATATATATATATAATAGTTTTATACTCAGTCATGAGATGTTCCGATAGGCCATTCATCTGTAAGGGCTTGCACCATTTTTTGTAGAATGAGGACACGTCGGAATTGCAATAACATCAAGTCTAAACTGTAGTTTTTGTTATTTAAGTTCATATTATCTTACATTTCTTGAGGTTGTTTACTAGAGCTTGCTCCTCATCAAGTATTCATTTAGATACGGTTTTCATGCAATGTTTTTACCATTGTTCAAGTCTTTGACACTAGCCGTCTATATTCATTTTGAAAGGGCTTCTAAACTAATGTTTGCAAATGCCATGTGAATCTATAAATACTTCTAAATAACTAATTTATCTTAGTTATTTTCTAGTTAAGTGAGTTGTGGTATCAATATGAATCGAAATAAACACTAATATGACCACAAACTGTGTTTACACTATTTGATGACTCTGTCACTTTATTCAATACTTAGCAATCATCTATAAAATATCCAAAAGCTGTGACAAATCGAATTGTTTTCACTTGATAATTCTACTGTGCGCTGTGTAATAATGTAAATAGTATCATTATAATCTTTTTCACCAAAACGTATAAAAACATAAACAGATAATTGACCCATGATTAGCCTAATAATAAACATAGTTAATGGTTGATATTCTAATACACACTCACTTTTCTATTATATCATTTTTAATTGCCGTCAACAGTTTATCGATTTTTCCCATGGACTAACGTATTTGTTCATAGCTAGATTAAAATACTCTAGAAAAACATGTTTTTAAGGCAACTTAATGGCCAGATACGAATTCCAGTTTACGTCTTTGACCAACGTTTACTGTGTAAGGAAGTGGTATTACTAGCCGGCTACCTAAATCTAAATGTAGATGGAATGAGTTTTCACTTGCAATCCAATCAATCAATAAGTAATTTAACAACTCAACCATCTCCCTATATTATTCACTTAAACCTACAGAATATAGGATACTCTAAATAGATCTTGTTTATTTCAGTTATTTTTTCAACTATTGTTCTTGTGTATTTTTCAGCTATTGAATATACTTGCAAATGGTTCCGTGAAAATTATGACACTATTCGGTGCTAGTTGTGTCTAAAATTATCCGTGGATAATCACTATATGATTAGTTATTTTCAATGTATTTTTTTACTGTTTCACTATAATCTGGTTAGCTATGGAAAAAATAGTTTGATTTTGATTTTAATTTTTCTAATAACTCAATCCTGATAATATGTTCTAAGTATTCAGTTAAAATAAATAATGATTCGCACAATTTCGGATGGAATTTTTTGCATAATATGATCAAGCTAAATCAGTTTGCATGGCTACGTAGTGTTATTCTTCATGAAGCAATCCATGACATTTGTGATCTAATATGTGTCTAATGCTAAAATTTTGCTAAAACTTCAACATAATCAACATGCGACGTTTGTTCATGAAGTTGGTGACTGCACTGTTAACAAGTTGATAAAGTTTCCAAGAGATTTACTACCTTCCAGCTCTCTTAAGCTGCTTAGTACTTTTATGGTACTTCACAATAAATTATCTCAAGGGTCAACGTAATCCAAGCTAGTAGATTCCTTTCCATAGCTGAATTGATAACTGCTACATAAAAAAGTAATAACGTTATCAAAATATCTTCTCGTAATATTGTTTATAACAAGTAACACTATCTATGCAAGGAACAGTCAAACATTCGGACTATTGCTATGACACCCTATAACTATATTATTATCATTGGCAGCAGACTTGGACATTGTTTTTAAATAGACATTAACCATAGAATAATTATATGCAAAGTAGTAACTGGACATGCTCATCTGAAAGAACTAAAAACATAAGACAATGACTCAAACCAATAAGTGACTTGACAGAGTTGCAAGTTAGCACAATCGTGATTAAAATAATAAAATCCGCTCGTATTAATGTCACTTCGTCTATAATATGCGATGTTTTTGCGTTTGCAATAATTTGATATGATCGTTCTAGATATGGTTGCTTCGCTAGTATTATTTCTGCTCTCATGTATTTTGATCATGTCTCAATCAAAATATTACAAAATACTATCTATATGATTTCTACATATTTATTTCGTTCACTTGACAATGTGATATATGCGTCATCCAAATAAGAATTCGATGTGAACTGCTTGGATATTTTTGTACTAGGTTATTGATCATATCTATTGTGTGAGTATTTCTGGTACTACCAGGCTATTCCAAACCTTAGTAGACTGAGGGGAATGTAAATGAATGCAGTAAATGGTCAATTCAATTTATATTCGGTTAGATGCTTATTCATTATTCTATACAGACGTTAAATTCAGCTAAACTGTAGTGAAAAATAAATAACTTTTAATCTACTCGTATTTAGAGTTGTAATATAAGTTTAAGTGTAACATAAGTGCTTGAAAATCGGAAAACATAAATTATCAATTTGGGGATTTGACTATTCTGTAAATAATTTGATAAATCCAAGATGTCGAAAAATTCCACTTGCCTACAAATCACTTAATATTCAATAAAAAACAACACGCAGCGACCCAGTGGTGATACTTAGTTGTTGTGCTGTTTTCAGTTTGTAACTTAAAACAATTTCATTGAGGGCCAAAAACTTTCAATGTTCGATCTAGCTTTAATTACAATATTTCGACCAGGTCGGTAGGAAGTTTAAAGACAAAATCGATTTTAGCTGTAGGATAAAGTAGCCAGTATTGTGATTGGCCTTTTAAGGGTACCAACTTCTGTTTCCTCAATAAGCTCGGCACTAAGCTGTTGTCCGTTTAATCGTAGCAGGTTAAATGTTACCCAGAGGAAGTTTTCATCTATTAGTGTGGAAATTTTAGATCAAACATCTTAAAAACACACGAAGACATGTTTCCACAAAATGAAGAATAATGTCGAAAGTTATGCGACAACAACTCTGAAAGTGAGTAGATTAATAGAGTAAGGTGGATAAAGTCTAAAATATGGCACAATAATGAAGTTTAATTGAGAGCATAAAATATGATGTTACGTGGCTAATTAATTGAAACTGTAGTCAGTACGGAAAAATAGGAACGAAGGGCTTGGAATATACTATCGAGAAAAACCCAGTCCTTTTACTGCTTAGCTCAATAGATAAAATACCTGGCAAGATTAGTTTTACACTAAATGCTATCTAGCGAAGGATGTACTCAGCTGCTAAACTAGTCTTCCTGTAACAAACGGATCACCCATTGAAACAGACAAAAATGAACGAGTCCCAACCTCATGTTACTTCCAGTCGTGTTTACCAGTTTACATTTGCATACTGGGGCGCATGCGTTAGAAAAACAAGGGGTAAGGTTCTTGCTCGCATTTGACAATAAATGTAGGTAAAATATCGTGTTTTCAACAGTTTGTCCATCATTTGCTTGATAGTGGACATGACGTTGATACTTCAAAACAAATATACAGCATCGAATTTGCTACATTTCACCGAAGTCATTGTTATTAAGAGATATCCAAAAGGATGAAGATGTAAGTCTCGTTCCAAAAATATTGGGGTTCTAGTACTTGTAATGCAGTTCCAATGAATAGTCAAAATGTGGAGTTAGTAACTCTTTACATTTTCATACAATATCAAATAACCTGTTTTTCTAAGGTCAATTTCTACCAACTGACTTGAGTGGTGAAAAAATGAGTATTGACACTCATTATACACTATATGGTTGACCAACAAATACTTATATAATTTTAATAAATTATTCAGAAAAGTTATCTTTGAACAGATTACATTAAATTATCTTACACAGTTCGACTTTACCTAAATTTCTGTATGATTCTTATCTCATTTCAATCACTTTAAGTTCAACGAAATTGTGTGTTCATTTTGAGTGAACAGAATTCACTATATGGTCATTTTCTTAAAATCTGCCAACTGAAACAATTTGGATTATGCATATACACAATGACTCGAGCTTACAACCCTAATATGTGTTCAAAGGAGATGCGTAACACTCCTGTCAATTTTTTGGGCTGATAGAGTTAATAGGTCATATTGATTCCTCACATATTTTTCTTGTTATCTCCCGCCTTTTTTGAATCTCCACTTCTTAGAATGGTTATTTGCACACATCTTAACAACTATTTATCTTGTTCAATAGCTCATTAATTATGTATAGCATGTATGTATTTAGGCATGTAGCAAATAGGAGCATGATATTTAGTTTGAAAATATTCTTGGACCAATGATAGTGTTTGAACTTAATGGCTGTTTTATTTTATTAGATTAAGAAACATAACTACTTGCCAGTATACCATTACTAGGCGTTTTCTGAACAGTAATGAAACAGGTGCCGCTTAAATCTACTTGATTCTGAGTTGTTTGTTTAAATATCATTAACACTTTAGCAGTGTGTTGATTAAGCTGTTTGAATAATGAGAGTGACATGACATTGCCAATTATGCAGTACGTACGTGCCCTGTTAACATTAACCACTGGAAAGTTGACAATCTAGTAATATTTTTTTCAAGACGGAAACCGTACACATCAAGTGATTTTCGATGTCTCAAAATTTATGATTTTTTAGATTAGAGTGTAATCACTCTAAATCAATAGTTCTATATGTATTTCGTTATAAATGAAAATCTAGAAGCATTTAATGTTCAAAAAAGAAAACTTTTAAAGGGTAGTAAACAGGACGAGCAACAAAAGTTGAACTTTCGGAATTGTCGTGCGTGACATTACTGGTCCTATTTTTGCTTTTTAATTATTAAATACCTACATTATCGAATTTTCTTATGCCTCTTATAAACATTTTCGTGTTGCATAAACTGTTTTTGTATGTTGTAATTTTTTCAAGTAAAGTTAATTTCTTACGGATCTACGACTGAATTCTCTTCCATTTATAGCGTAGTTATGTTGTTATTATGATTTCTTAATAATACTGATATGTGGTCAGGATTTTACTTTATACAATTGTGTGAGTTTGAGTCATAATCGAATTGAAAACAACATAGGATCAGATTACCTGTCCGGGTAATTAGTTTTCTGTCTCTCTCTTTGATTTTCGACTTATCAAGTTATAGTTCAGTGATAGGACAGCTCTTCTATTTGTTACAATCGAATTCACGTTGCAAGTGTCAAGGTTGAACTTAGTAATCTATCACACCAAGGCTTTAAACTAGGTCAAAAGATTCTCTCGAAGTGTATATTAAGCACAGACTAGTAGGCAGACCGATCAAGTTTGTAACAAATAGATATTTCACTTAGAATGAACGTTACAGAAACAGTTCATTTTATAGTTGAATTCATGAGTCAATTGGAACAGGTTTTCCATGGTGGTCTAGTTCCAATTGACTCATAAATTCAACTATAAAACTACTAAAATCTACAAAACCCCTTCTGAGAAACAGTTAAGTAAAATGGATTCACGTTCAATTAATTGAAACTCAAGAAGCCACTGTTCAGTTTCTTTAATCATACATACTAGTCATTCATACCATAGGGCTAATAGATTTGAATATAGATACTTGATCACTAGTGAAAACCTGGTAAACTATTAAATGAATATGATAAAAACTGGTGTTCTGCAAGAAATCTCCTAGCTCATCTACCGATAGATTATGTTGAGTACTTCACACTACTCACAAGTAGGCTATCTCTCCTTGCATATATCTAACATTTGTGGACACAGTTATAAGTTTACAGTTCATAAAACCCGTAGGTACTCGACAGCTGTCTCTTTCTATCAATTAAGTTGTTGGAAGTTAGTGCCTTCGTATTCACATAGGGGTGGATGCAAACTATGGGAGCTTTGGGATGATCACATTACTTCTGATCAATGAATTGAAACAAAAAAGTTAATTTTCGAATTTACCTGGTGTGTATAACACTGAAGACCTTGGGCGGCTTATCAGCCAACAAGAAAATGCTGCCTAGTTATAAAACAAATTAAGTCTAGGGTTTTCAACACGAACTGACATCAGTTATAATGTAATGCCTTGCCACTTTTCTGTTTACAAACTTGCGAAACTTAGGGTTGAGATTTAGAGAGAATAAGGAAGGTAAAATACTGTTTAGCTTCGCTAAACACTCTTGAATGAATGCCATTAAGTACTTGGACACAAAATCTACCTTAGAAGCATGTATGTCATGTAGTTTAGTTTAAGCATCATCTGAAATTTACTTTATCGTTGTGTAATAGGTATGTTCATTGATATCAAATATTTTAACAACCAAATATTGCCAATGTCTACTTGCCTAATAATAACATACATGCTATCTATCACTTCACTTTAAACTTTGTGCAAAATAATTGGGGTGTTATTTTAATTATTATTAGTTAACACAAGGCCGTCAGTATATTATGCTTTTACCAAGCCAAAAGTTTAGAATTTTGATTTACCGACTGACAAAATAAATCATGGGATAAGGAGCCTCAGAAAGTCAAAGGTAACTAGGTATCTACATTATTTTCGATAATATAATTTTTTAAGTGTGCACCTTTAATCATTTTCACGAGCTTTGGTTCGAATTAATTATTATAGAGCAACTAAATAACTCGAAATCTGAAAGTTTTTATGCTTAAACATTAGTCAAATTCATGGACGAGGTTGCAAAAGACATACCAAAAAGGTATTTCATTAAAAAAGAGGCAGGATAATACTTTATTTAACTCATCAAACCGATATTCATAACTATCGTTATCATTATGAAAACTAAGAATATTTAAAATTCTTTATCACATAGATGCATCGTTTATAAAATTATTATCATTTAAGAGGCAGAGTTGTGAAGAAACATAAAAATTCTTGTTGTTATTCTACTTCGTCCTAGAAACTTTTTCTTAATTCCATATATATATGAAAGAGAGAGATATCCATAAGTGTCTACTATGACTCCGAAATAATAGAAATATTATTGTCCAAGAACAGCAAAATTATCCAAAAAATGCTCTTTCAATATTTAACTTTTGATCGCCACTTAATTTTTTAGGAAATTGAATATTGAATCGAATTCGTAAATCTCCTTTCTTCTCTGGATTATCAGGTAATGGCATGCCCTCACCTGGCACTACTTTTTCATAGTTGGGACTATAAAATCCATGTTTTGCAAAGATAGAAAGATTTATGAATAAAGTACATCAATAAAGAGAATGAACAATCTAATCTTGAACTATTCAAGGCTATTATTTGAGTCATTGATGAGTGTGAGCTGCACAAAAAACTGTAACTAGGATGTACTACTCAAGTCGGATACATGAGTTTTAGATCATATAATAACGTGATCTCCATAACTCTTACTAGACCTAAACTAATGGTGTCATCTATTGTGGTAATCATATTATTGATGAGTCATTTGGTTGGAATCTAATATTTATGATTTGTTGCATAAGACATAATATTTAAAATGAAACCTTTTGATGTGGCTTAAATCAAAATAAAACAGAATCCTAACGATCATTTAACTTTCAGTAGTTCTTTAAATAATATCAGTCTCCGACTCAATATATTTTGAAACGTATAATTTACTGTGTAAACCTTTTTCTAGTTATTTCTACTATCTGAAATCTGCTATTTTTAGTGATATAACTCTTGTGTATAGTTTTCAATTAAACTATTGTGACCAGAAATTATGTATTAAGAGAATATAAACACAAATGATACTTCTTTTATTGAAAATATATACTTTAAATTATGTACTTCTGGACCTTCGATAAACATTTTTAATAACTGAAATGTGTTGAAAGTCATTTTTAATACAGGAAAAATAACCACGAATTAAGACGAACTGATTTTGTAAAAATATTCATTTGGAGAGAACGAATTACTTGTGGATTCAAAGATCAATTACATTGAACACATTCAATTATCGAAATCTTTATATATTTTATCATTTTCCAAAATACTTTATACACATGTGTACTTTGAATGTTGAAATTATGATCATTGATTTTAACATTGAATTTTATCAATGAATTAAAAGTGATTGGTTAGAAAAATGAGATCTGAACTCATTCTTTCTGATATTATCTGTCATCTACTTAAAATTGTAAATTTGCAATGTTCCTCTAGTTTGAATGTTTAATTACGTACATGTAAGATATAGAGGAAACAAAAGACTAGTTCTTTCAATATACGTATTGGGCGAAGAGGTGATGCTATAATCAATTCTTTCTTATTCGCAAATAACATCCGGTCTTATGAATGACTGAATTACAAAAAAAAGCTATTTAGCCAGATAAAAATATTTCTGAACCAGTACAACCTATTATAAATTATACTTATTTTATACTGAAATATGTCTGAATAAAGATAGTTGACCTATGACTGATACAAAAATTATGATTATATTGCTCCAAGTGAAAAGTAACGAGTAGAATCTTGCCATATCAAGACTGAAATTAATATCGCCAGTGACAACGGATTATGGCCACACAATATCGCACATTGATAAAAGTTAGAAACGTCACAAACTACATACAGGCCGTGTCAGAAGAGTTAGGCGATCACCGCAAGACCTGGTGGTTCTGGGCTCGACCTCTAGTGAGGTGGTTTATGTATACTGTTAAGGAAGTCCCATTTTATAACGACATAGCTGTATAGTGCCTACTGCTTTTCAGTAGTGGTCTAATTAAAGTCAGTCTACGATATAAGATTACTACATTATGTTATAATTTTAGTATGTAGACAAAGATGAAATTTATTTCTGCACAGTGGAAACTACGCTGAGTACCAAACCGAACACCAGTGTTTTTAGTTCCTCACAAAGATTTTATTCTTTAAGACATTTTTTTCTTAACACGCTGATATTTAGCTTTTCTTATTCTAAAAGGTATCGTCATGATGAATTTTTGTCTTATTTAGCCCTAAAAAAATACATTATTGGTATTATTCGCCAATTCTATGTCTAATGTTTATAACGAAGTAGAGATAAACAAAAACAAAATATTTGTAAATGATAGAAAATCATTGCTATGACTACTTGTTACAGATGAACAAAGACTAATATAGCTTTGCGCAAAGGAGAAAAGAAGACTGAAAATGAAGGCTTATTATGCAAAGACAATAAATCCACAACTGATTCAACCGCTGATTAGCAAACATACTAAAATACACTGAGTTATGTCTCATTTATTTATCCGGCCAATAATCAAACTTGGATACTCTAAAGTAAACAGCACTTGACATAAATTAACCAATAATTTGATGTACGTATACAACTTACAATGAGGTTAGACTAGCTGGTTCAACTAACAATTGTAACTAAATTGCTGAGTTATATATTTTCCACTCTCTAACAAAATTGACTGTCGACTAATATTAATGGAACAATACTGTAAACACTCGAAACAATTAGTTGTGGTAAAATAAATAACAAAAGAAGTAATAAAAGCTGTATTTGACTTACTGAATGATTTCCGTGATTGGAACATGTAACAATCTTCCGTCTAATGTAGGGACATCTATAATACAACCTAATAAAGCTTGTCCTAATGGTACTGGTGAAGTAAATATTAAATCAGTCCCTTCACGCTTAAAATGTTTATGTGGATGATCACGTAAAATAAATACAATATCAGCTATGAAAGGGAAAAAGGAAAAAATATCAGTTTGGGGATTGTAGTATTTTCACAGTTAAAATCATGAGTCAATCTAAGCTAGACTACCATTAAAAGCCTGAAAGCACTGGTTGGATGAGACAGTTATCTACCTCAGAAAGTGGATGAAGGATTGCGCAAGATCATGGATTGATTGGTGTTAGATAATAACACCGTTGGATACCGGCTCAGCGGTCTAGATGATAAGTGTGCGCGCCCGAGACTGAGGTATATAAGTTCTAGTCCTGAGTATGGGGTCGTGGATGCGCACTGTTGAGAAGTCCCATACTAGCACGAAACGGCCCTCCAGTGCTTCCGAGATTCTGATGGTGATCTAGCTTAGATAGATTTGTGATTTCAACTGTGAAAAGGAAAAGTAGTTAAGATAACGTTGACTTATTAGATGTTTCTACAACTCAAGAAGTCATAAGGAAAGATGGTTCCTCTTTCGGAAGGGTTGTTTGCTTTTATTAACCAGAGTTTACCTCGGAGACAATAAAGACTTAAATCTGTCTTTCAAGTAAATCTAATCATCGGTAAATTTGAACTTAACCTAAACAATACATTTTGCGTCATATTTGATTTATATGAACTACAAAATTGGCTGGCAAATATTCCTGTTTAAAAGTAAAACTAAAATATCAGCATCATTTTGGAATAACTTTATATATCTTTAGGTGAACTTTAAAAATTTTAAGTGACGAAATATTTTACTTTAATTCGCAGAGAATCAGCAAGCACTATTAGGTATTACGTTTGCTGTGAATATCTATGATATCTACAGAAACCTGTTAGTAGGATCATTTTAATGCAAGATACCTACATCAGAGTATAAAATTATTAATAATAATCTAAATGAAGCTTCCTTTTTGAGATTATACTTTTTTGGATTAACTAATTCTGAACATTTATTTTCCCCAAGCTTATAATATGAAGTTTCAGATATCGACCTCTAATATAAGAAGTCTTTTATGGAATTAAAGTATACAGATGGAATAGTTCCGTTGTTAGGAGGTATTAAATGCTTTTCTCGCAAAACGATGGTTCAAGATTGATCATCGAGTTTGATTATTTTGAACCATATTTTTTATTTTTAGGCTTCTACTATTAGCGTTATCACTAGCTTCATTTTTGTTTTTCATCTTAATTACTATTTTTACAGTACTGGTGATAAATACGACAACTTGAATTCAAAAGTCTTTCTTGTGGATCCGACATTGATTGGGTTGATTTGTCGCAGGTAGTGTACGTCAACGTGAAAGTAAAATAGGTTAAACATTTAGACCACCGACTTTTGCATTTCAGCAGACACAAATGCTATAACAGTGAATTCATTGGCCATAGAGAAGCACTATATGTCAAGGAATTTTACAAATATTGTTCAGCATCGTAGTAATGTTAAATAAATTACTACAATTCTAAAACAGGCCAAAAAATCATTAAATAACCACACATGAATAATAATTGGTGGATTAAAGCGTGCGAAAATTAGCAGACTAGGTAAAACAAAAAAGCTAGTTAGAGGTAAATCTATACCTGGAATTGTATTCGGACCTTGATCACCTTCCTTGGGGAATGTGATACGAGTGCCTTCATACCATCCAGGAAAAACAGTCAATGTAAGTATTTTATCCTTGATGCTACTTGTGTGCCCGTCTTCATTCATGATCTTCAAAAAAAAAAAAAAAATTTCATAAATTTAACTTTTAACACCATGATAAGAAGCTAATTGCGAATCTAACTGATTGTTTCATAAAGGCAGTTTTCACTCAGTAACTCGTGAAACCTTTTAAATAAGGAACTAATGGTGTCCAATACTGGAGATATTCAATCGACATACGTAATTATAAGTGTACTCTCACTTCAAAAACCGAGTAAGAATAATACGCCAGCCGAAAAAACGTAACTATAGACGCAAGTATAATAGATATGAACCTGAAATTTTCCTATTTACTTTATTTCATAGTGACCAGTTGAAGATGTGTTAAAAGTAACTACAAGTAAATTAATATGGTACATATCAACCATCAAGACTGTGTTTAGCATTCTGTTTGTACTGATACTATTCTGGAGTTCTGCCTGATAATTTCATATCACTTTGCTAATGTGGTATGATGATTAAAACCGACTCACTTATGTGTCAGCTTCTACGTTACACATGACTGACTGAAGACACGGAGGCGTTAGAGTCTGATTTCGAGTGCAGATCTTGTTATGCTGAGGCTCCAGATTAAATTGACTAGTTAATCAATCCCTTTTAATCTCCGATAGTTATCTAACTCTTACAAGTAAATGAAATTACCTGAAAATATGTTTTTCCTTTGCATTATTTGAAGGGGAACTTTCATTCGTATCAAAAAGCGAATAAATGATACCAAACTTTCAGTGAAACTTTTCTTACTCGGCGGGAAATTTTCATCTTTTTAGTACATCCATTGTAAATTTCTTCAAGAGTCAGAGACATTTCGCGTTCAATTGGTGGGTCTTGATGAGGACAACCACGACCATTAAAACCTCCGAAGTTATGTTCAACTTGTGAGCCCATTTCTTCCTGAAATCCTGATTGTTAAAATGATAGTAAAGAAATTGAAAAATTACGGTCGAAAGGATTATCTGTTCCGAAAAAGGACATGAACGTTTTGTGTGCATCT